GTCCGTCCGCATCTCCGTCTCTCCTGCACGATTTCTTCGAAAACATTGGCCGCCACCGTTCAAGCGGCCCGTACACCGTGCCGCTTTGTTTCCCATGTCCAGCGACCACGCGTGGAACGAGTCAGAGACGAACGATACACGCCTCGGCATGGAGTGGACTCGCGATAAAACCCTCGAGCTACTGCGCGAGTATCAACAGAGACGCGTCCTCTGGGACTGGAATGCTCGCGGCTATCGGGACCGGACCAAGCGGAAACGTGCCATCCAAGAGCTCGCCGAGATACTTTGCTGTAACACGCTCGAAATCGAGAAGAAGATCACTAATCTAAAGTGTCAGTATTCGAGAGAGGTGCACAAGATACAAAATAGTCGAGACGCCGCTACCGGACCCGACGATGTTTACGTGTCCAAGTGGTTCGCGTTCAAGGCGATGCAGTTCCTGCAATTCGGCACACGCAGATACAGCAAACGGAAGAAGGTACGTATCCGGATGGACGCTAAGTCGTAGTCGGGACGAACCGTGTGTAAACATGAACGAGAAACCCAGTTGCAATTTTTTCCACGTGCCTACTGATAAGTCGACGAAATATGAGGCGTGTTTTCTTAAGTGAAATCTCTATGGGAGCGATTCGACGCGGGAGCGTTATGTTCGAATGTCAGATCATATCGCGAGAAGTGCAAGCAATTTCATAAATTCTCACAAACTTCGAATTCCAAAATTTTATAATTTCTAAATTCTTTTACCACCGATAATATTTAGACCGTAATAAAGCTGCATCCATATTTCCGTAGCACAATTTTTTTCCTGGCAAAAATCGGACAACGGCACGTACTTCACAGTTGACGGGATTATTTATTGCAGCACACAGCACAAATTATTTGCATCAATCTGGCAATGATTAAACACCCGACAGTCAGCTAAATGAATCATATAACGATACTATATAATCGTAATCCCGTTTCCATATTTCAGTTGGCGGTAATTTTAAAATGGACCTTACTCAAAAAACACTTTGCATCAACGTGCAGATAACTGTGATTATCAGTGAATGTTAACTTTTGGAACACGCGAGAAACGTTTGTCTTCCACGTTGTTGAACGAATAGAGTACAAGTAGAACAGCCTTAAGGGATCCCTTTCTCCGGTTATAAGGAGGCCAGTTTACGCCATCGCGTAATTGACTAACCAATTTCGGAGAAAGACCATTGTGAAGCTGAGTGCGTTTCATAGAAACTGCTGCTTAACTCGACTAATCTTCGATGAAATATGTATTTCAACGGATCTCGTGGCGTCTGTCACGGACGTATCATCCCTCGTGCTATTCGATCCTATTGTGTTTAATGCATTTCGAATCAACTGCGCACCGTGTGTGTCTTACAAAGAAAATGAAAGTTACGAGCAGAGATATGTTCAGAAACGACGCTAAATTTAATTTTTCAGACTGACTCTTCGTTGCATGATTTTATTAATTAAAAATACGATTTTAAATTTTCTTATGTGATAACAAGATAATAATTTTTTCTATTTAACAAAATGTGGCATATTTGCAATAGGTATTGTCTGTACCATAAAAGCGAAATATAATATGTGTTTGCAGTATCGAGATATGTATTATTGTTTGCAGCATAATTGTAACACAACGCAACGAAGGGTTAACACCCTGTAGGGACACAGTACAAACGCGTGTACTTTTTCCTAATTAACCGTATGGGATTTATTCAAGCATTATTGTTTGGAACATTTAAATATACTCCCGTGAAAGTTTTAACGCGAAGTTTCTTCATAGATCGAAATGCTAGATTAACGTTGAATCATGTGAACTCTAGGTATGGCAGCAGATTGGATCGCGATTCGATTCGATTGTTTTTATGGTGCCGCCTAATTACAATAACAGGGAATGTAAAGTTTTCTCCCGTTCGATGGAAGTAGGTAAATTATACATTTGCGAAGTGAATGTTCGGAAGAAATTTTGTTTGATTTCTTAAGGAACTGTGTTAGATCAACTGGAATGATTAATATCAGTATTAGTTGTTACATCGACTATTATTAGTGCTTGACCATTCATCAAATCGAACATGAAACAAGAATAGCAATAAATTTTAAGTGAATAATAATTACATTATTACAAACTTGGAAATACAACATTTAGAATTAAAATTTCAGGTAAAAGATTTTACAAAAATTCATTAACTGTGAATGAAAATCTGTGAGGATACTCTAATAAACTAATAATATGTGATACAAAAATTAATAAGAATTTAGTTAAAATTAAGATACATTTATACGATTCTAACACATAAACGTTTATCACATTTTGTTGCTTTCACGCCCGTGTATTGTTTTCTCTAACTGTACATTAAGGTTTCTGCAATCTTCTTGTTCCAATTCTTGAAACATTATTACTTTCACCGATATAATATATTAACTGACCCGTTAATAAAACTTTCAGGCATAGTTACAATCGATATGTTATTCAAATATGAATGTTTTGCTTATATGTCAGCTATTTCAAAGCCTTGGCACATTTTTTTATTATAAAGAAAAGGTTGAACAGCAACTGGGTTTCGATCGTTGTACATGTTACAAAACGATCGTCGATCATTACAAATATAAAATTCAATAACAACTTACAATTTAGGAAGATGCAAAATTAAAAAATTTCAAAGTCTCCACATTTAAAGAAAAAGAGACATCGATTAGTGCATATTAAAAGTATATTAAAATTTACATTTTAGTATTATAAATAAATATTGAGAACCCTGAAGACAATATACATAATATTGATCGTGTGAAGTCTCCATTATGTTGCACCCGAGTGTACAGTCACGTGCAACTTAGGTTTAATTAAGGGGTGATGTCCTACCGCATTCTTCGTCCATCTTATACCTGATAATAGAAAGTTTTCGGTTAGTTTTCCCCTGGGTCCTTTTATTCTTTCAAGGAAGAATCTCCCTATAATTCATTATAACCTAATTCTCTAATTTTCTTGAAAAAGTCTATGTTCAACTTTTAAACTTGATGAAGACATAGAGTTAAGTAGTTGTATTTACTTAAAAAGAATGATTGACGATCGTGTAGACACATTGAATTTTCCTTTACAACATTATTTTTCTCGTAGAAAACCGAGGAAGAGACGCCAAAACTGCAAGAGGAGTACATAGTGAGCGACATCGATCCCGAGAGCATCACCTTCATAGACTGTAACGAGGAAACGAACGGTTCCGGCACCGGTTCTTTAAACGCCTCGTTGAGCGAGGATGCGGAGGAATCATCGTCGTCGAGTTTGAAAGCGATGGAGCTTTACAACGGCTCGTCGTTACCGGACCATTACAATAGTCCCATCGGCGATTTGGACGAGTCTGGGCAAACGAAGGTCGAAACCAGGACGGACGAGCGGAAGAGAACGAAAGAGGAGTTCGCGAAATTTGCGGAAAGCATCGCTGTGCAGCTAGCGGAGATCCCAGACTCTTACTCGAGGTCCGTCGCGAAACTGAGGATCAATCAAATTCTCTTCGAAGCTGAAATCGGCATTTACGCGCAAACACGTCGCTAACAAGCGCGACAACAGAGACGCTCTGACTTTAATCAATGATCAATTGCTGTCCGTACAGCTTTGATGCTCGATGATAATGAAATGTTCTGATGGAGATATGGTGAAACGTCCTCGTAAGATGGGAAATATGAAGCTCAAGGTTTCATCATGACGATTAAAAGCCGATTTATGGTATTCGTTTAGGCATGCGGCATTCTTTGTCCTTTGAACAATTACTTTGCGATGATAATTGTTTCACAACTTTTCAGATATTACAAAAGAAAATTGTGAAGTTTTTTTATACGGACGTGGTCTGTAGAGTACAGATATGGCAGTCGTTGATTTTTAGAAATTTTTGAGGATTGGAAAGTTTGATGGATTAACAATCTAAACCTTAGATTCTAGGGACTTGATGGCTTGTTTAAAACTTGAATATCAAGAAATTGATCAATATGAAAATTTAGAGAGTTTAAAAATTTTCAAGTTTGCATATGTGTCCCTGTCCAAAGGAAACCCAGTTGTACCCCAGTGAACGGTTCAAGTAACTACGTTTGGAAGACGTAAACGTACATACATTATTCGCGTATTGGGTTGATTAGAATGTTTTCCTATTTCCTTCAAAGTTGATTACCATATCGTATCATGCGAAACATTTTCTTTCAATTGACACATGTATGAACGAATCTGTTATGCTCTGATACAAGCTATTCTATTTATATGACTGTAATTGAGACCTCAGACGATCAGTGTATATAAATATATTGACATTATTTTTCAGCTTTCCATATATTTATAGTAAAGCAATATTGACCACATTATTTGTAAAATATTTTTGTTATCATTTTTATATTTGATGTTAATATTCGTGTATACATTTTATTGGCACAGTCTGTACATATTGATCTATGAAGTATCCATAAGAATATTTGTTTGAATGGCGGACACCGCGTGTCTAAACGAATAATATAAATTGACTTTTAACTGGCTTGTTACCAGCACTCGAACACGTGTTAATGATTCATAATGAGAAACGTTGAAATGCAGAAGTATTTGAAAATTGATTAAATCTGTATTTAACGAAAAAGCATCAACGTCATTATGATGTAGGTGCAAGTGCTACGACATTATGAAAATCATCAGTTAGTGATCATTTCGAAATGCGCGTTTTAATAGCATTTCAAATTTTATTGTAAATTCTCAGTTCTTTATTGGAAATTCTTCGGAAAGATAATACGTACATTATTTTTTATAGGACCACTACAAATTTATATTGCTATGATTAATTTTATATTTAATACGCGTTTAAAAGTTTTACGAAAGTTGTATAAATTTCCTGCTAATTTTATCTCTTTTATGCGTTAGATAAACAAAATTAGCGATTGAGAGTGGTAAGAGAAGTTCGGTATTCAAGAACTTTTAACAAAACGCGTTCAAACGCATCGAAACATAAAATTTCAACGATAACATTGTATAGCGCGACACAAAAATGGCTGTAAAGTGCGCTGTAATTTACGCGGTTCGAGTTATGCCGGGTTCGAGTATATAATTAGCGGAGAAGACGTTTATTGTGCCGCTCATTACGAAGCTTCCAAGAAAGCAAAAAAAAATCGTATTTAGAAAACTGTTTACACGTAATGTTATATTTTTTCGATAATTGTACAAGATTGAGTTTTCTCCTGGGAGATAATCACTTAAGGCCCCAGGAATAAAATTCATTATTTCCGTAAGTAAAAGTCGACTACGTATCGTTAGGATTGCGAAAAATCAAAAGTAATATTAAATCCTTTTTTAAAAGTAGAATTTTGCTTGCAAACGTACGCGTATCTTCGAAAGTTAATGCGTATTTTGTAAAATACGATCAAATTGTATTATATTCTATAGTTTGCATGATGATAAAATATAAACGTCTTGCGTTACGGGGCGAACGCTTTCGAATTAGAAAGACGAAAAAAAGTAAATTCGCATTATAAATGCCTTGCGTTTATCAAACAAAAGTGCTCGACACATGTGTAATATTTTTGAACTTGGATTCATGAGAAAGACTGTATTTTAAATGAAACTGTTTTTCGTGGTCTGGTTTGTCTGGCACGATAACACCAATCGAATATTTTTTTAAGTGGACTTTCGTCGATCTTTACGTACAATCGTCGAATGAAATGTTACTCATATTCGATAGAATAGCGGATATGTGATTTTAGATGTAAAAAGTAAGCGAAACGTCGTTCGAGTCAGATTGAAATGTTCATATTGGCGTAACTAGGAATTAGGGTTTGTTTATTCTATTACATTCTATTTGTCTAGAATGTTGGGTGGTTATACGCGATCTGACGCGTAGGGATCAAACATGTGGCGATCTGACACACAAATATGTAACGTGCGGTAATCTTATGCACGACTAAACCTCGGACAAAAATCTTGCTTACGCCAATGAACATTTATATCATGCAATAAATCACTTGATGTTAGAGGAATATTAACTTTCTGTTAAAAGTCCAGAAGTATTATTTATTGTGACAAGAAAATAATACTGAATTAAAGAAGTTGCAGACACTCATTTGACTATTATTGAACTTCAAATTGATAAAATATTGTTGACCAAATATTATTAATTTCCTCTAACATTTACTCCTCTTATGTCACTGATACAATCTGTCTCACGAATAAAATTAGATCGTAAACAGTTCATTGGTATTGTTTCAGGGCTTTAAATAGTAGGTCGTAGTAAGCTGTATAGATAGCGAACTATTTTTTATCAAGAAAAAATCCCTCCGTAAAATCGAAGATAAGTCTTAAACTTGCTTGACTTCCGTTTAAAACAAATCTACATAATGTTTCATATCAATAGACAACAGGTTTTCCATTAGTAGTTACACAGCGATGTACGCAAGAAACCGTCAGTCTCCGGTGTAAGTCTTTATAATGTATTCATTGTTGTTCCTGATTATATGATAGTTTTATATTTTTGTATTATTTCTTTTTGAACCATTTTTGCACTCTGACTTTTTCAAGTATTGCTCATTTAGTTACGTCAATGTTTATAACTCGATATTTATTAAAAATTGAAAGTAATTTACACTATCAGTGTTCTGTTAATTGTAGTACTCCTAGATTTTAATACTTTTATTAAATTATGAATGAATTTCAAAAGCTTTTGACAGCTGTTGATATCAATAAATCTGTTAACAAATTTTTAGCCGATAAGGTATTAGCACTAAAATAATAATTGCTTTTTTCATGAAATATATGGAAAATAGTAACTAGAGTTGAATATACCTGGAAGATATATTTGGAATGTAAAAAGTTCAAAGTTCAAACTCTTGCTTAATATTATTAAGGCATGTACTTTGGGTACATTTCATTTCAAGTCACGAACGTACTATTTTTGTTTATCAAATATTTCTCTTCGAATATCAGTATTTTTAATATTGAATAATTAGTAGAATACAAAATTGAAAAGTTCAGTGCATGTTACTAAGTTGTTGATTTTTTTATCTCGTTATAGTCTATTCGTGTTTCATATGTGAGTCTCCATCATACACGATAATGTATTGTAATGTTGAATTTAACGTTGACAAAATCGCAGTATAACTGTTATTAAAGTTGATGATTGAAAGACTAAAATAAAGAAAAATGTAATGTGTGATTACAAGATATTCAAACGCGACAAATTAACACAAAAATTGATGAAAAACGTGTGAATTAAATTGGAAATGTACAAACATTTTCAACTTGATATTCTTTACAGAAGCTGCTGTTATGCTATTTTACATTCTCATTCTTTGCGAAATGTTACACAGATCGGACGACCAATAAACTTTGCAAATTTTCATATTTTTCAATTCCTAAGCTCCCAAATTTTCTAACTTTATCTAAATTTGATTTTTTAAATTAAATATCTTAACTACTCAAATATAAATATTAACAGTATTGACAATATTGATCGTCTGAAGTCCTTCTTGTCAATCTTGAATTTCATAGAAACGTAATTGTGATTCTACGCGAAAGAAAATTGACGATTGAAAGCGTGGATTAAAATATTGTAAGATAATTCGTTATACGGGTTAATATGCCAGAGTTAAACTGCGATCACTGCCTTGATATCCCTCGTCTGAATTTCTCTTCCCTTAGATAGCGATTACAATATTAATCCTAGCGTATCGATAAGTATGATTAAGTTCACTAGTGTAAAAATTCGTTGTAAAAAGAACATAGTGGTAAGATTATCTAATTGTAAGTTCAAGAGAAATCAAGGTGGTTGTTAAAGAAATTAATGTTACCGTGTACTTATGGTTTCCTTCTCATGAATTTTGTAAAACTTTTGTATGTACATTTGTTTGTTTCCGAAACAAAGAACATTGGAATAACTTTGTTAGCTTTATATTTGTTACGTTAGAATTAATTTTTAAGAATTAAGATAAGGAAAGTTCGGTTGAACCCAAAAATAAAGACTTTACGGAAGTTATATTTACACAGACACAAAAAACAATTCTTTCTTATGATAAACTGTCAGAATTCTTTATACTATTTCTTTTTTGTAACATTTACAGCGTATCAACGTGCGTTTAACATTGTATACTTCTGTTCAATAAAATGATTAGGAATAAGCGTTCTTTGGGGTGCAGTTTCTTCTCTTTTCGCGACAGTAACATAAGGCAATAAATGTAGGAATTACAATCATTCTTTACTTCTTTATAATTTCTTTGTTTGTTGAAAAATACCATAAAAATCAAGGTAAACACAAGAGATTCTGTAAGATTGAAAAGAATTTAAACAAAATGATTTAATTTCAGGTGAGAGGTTGGACACGATCGTCGAAACAAATCAACTCTCCGGCAAGTACCTGATCGATGTAAAGGGCCTTCACGAGTGTCAAAACCTTCGTCAGGAAGCTTTCATCCTTTATGACGACGCAGAACCAGAGTCCGCAATGATAAAGGACGAAGAACTATTGAAAATCGATGACCATGCAATTGCGAACAAGGGCTACGATTGTCATGACATATCAAAGAATTTTATATGCACGTTGGACTTAAAAGGATCAAAGAGGACATCGAACGAGATTTATGCGAATCAAATTATTTATATTCCGTTCGACGTGAATGTTTTCCCACATTTCACCGATGAACAGTCTGATAATAGATACAATATTTATGGATGTGCTTTCTATCCTTCTTATTTAAGTAAGAATATAAATATGTGAATACAACTACTACTTATAAAACTGAAATTATTCTTCTTTTCATTTGATAAATTTGAGTTTATCATATTTATCATGAGTTGTATTTATTGTTAAGTCATTTCTTGTTATTTAGATTAAAGGTAATTAATAGTAAGTCAATATTAATTATATCTTTATTTCAGCAATGGACAAAAATGAAACAAGAATTATGCAAGTCAATGGAATAACATTCAAGTATCCTACATCTCCACTACTATCACAACCAAAAGATATACAAGAAGAATCAATTTGTTCTCTTGAAAATCCTTCAATACAGTGTGCTGACACACCACTGTTCTGTGAATGTACCCAGGTGATTGAAGTCCCAGCCAGAGAACACATTGACATTATCTTAATAGATGAAGGTAATTTGTTAACAAAAATTTATAGGAAGTTATTTATATTTTTATAGTTATGTTAAGAATGATTTTTGTGTAGGTTTTGGAGGAAATGATTCTCAAACATTCCACATACACGGGTATCATGCGAGTGTTCTAGGAAGGAGTAGTTTCGGACGACCAGTTACTAAGGATGAAATTATATCTTTGGATCGTGACAAGCAGTTACATCGTAATTTCATAGATCCTCCTCAGAAAGATAGCTTTGTTGTCCCAAATAAAGGTTACATTATTCTACGCCTGTTTACTGATAATTTAGGTAAGTTCCTCTAATTCATTCTGTTCTGTTCTTATTCACACATGTTATACAAGCAAAATAATCTTGATAGGATACTGGTTGTGGGAAGCAAGAAACTCAGCAATCTCTTCAAAAGTGTCAGGACCAGGAATACAATTTTTACTAAAAGTAGGAGATCACGAAAGTTTTCCACCAGTACCCGTGGATTTCCCGATGTGTGGAAATAATAAACCTCCGGACAATGTATTCGAAACGCACTGATTCACTGTATCTCGTGTTTATTTTATAATTCCTTCTATTGCCTTTAATCTTGATTAACTGTATAAGATTCAGTGTACCATAAATTATGTTCTCATAAAGAAATGATTTAGCACCGTTTTATAAATAAAACAGGAAAACATAAAGAGGCGAGGAAAGACATTCTATTCACTGGTGAAAGTAATAGTAATCTGGATGTCCAAAACCATAAAACTCGTGCAGAGCGAGCAATGGTGGTTTCCAATTGCTGCATTTCGGGAAACCAGGCGGAGGTGGTGGAAGATCTCCTTGGTCGCCGACGTGGATGATAAGTTCCATTCCAGTGATGTGATGCCAAGTAAAGTGACAATGAATTAGCCACCATCCTATAAGAAAGGGCGTGTAATACATCAGATAACAAGTGGATTATTAAATACTTTAATTAATAATAAAAGATCATGACAAGAATTGACTATACTTATTAGGTCATTCTTTCTCTGTGATCGTTAATTTATAAATTTAAAAACGACGACTGATTAAAATATTGTACCTGGATTGTTTGCCTTAAAACGTAGAATCACATATCCACGGAGGGGTACTTTGACATTATCTTTAAGAGGTACATTGCGGTACTCTCCTCGTTGTAGGCGTTGCGTGTGTTGCCTAACTACTGCATTCATATCGCTTCTTGATAGATTTCTGCCATCGGTGAATTGACCTACGCTAAAGACCTTAAAATGGTATCCGTGTAGATGCATTGGGTGATGAATATCGTCCTGTGGCACTGAAATATCATTCATCGTTTATCAACGACCTTTAATAAGTATTAACATGGTTGCAGCTTGTAGTTTGAATTTTATGTTAGAACTCATGTTAATATACACAACAAAAGTACTACAGGAACAAATATAAAGTATTACCTGCATCATAAATTACTAATTCCACAACATTATTCAATTTTGTATGAATAACTTCAGCGCATGTACAAGGTTCAGTGCACGTGCTGGGTTGATTCCGCTTACACATGGCTTGATAAGTATTTCTGGGTTGTGAGATGAAGGGAGAAGCTGGTGGCTCAAACGTGATGTCGTTGAACATAGAAACAATTTGAGATTTATCAGTGGCACCTGAAATAAATAAGATTCCATAAAGACGTGTGTACGTTTAGTGTTACTAAGATGTTTAGTGTTTCACTGAAAAGTAACCGTACTGAAAAAGGGGCGAGTTGAATTCGGTGCAAACAGAGGATAATTGCCATATTCGGTATAATTGTAGAACCAAAGGTTCATTATGTGTCGCTCATCTGGCTCGATTTTATAAAGATCTCTGTCATCTTCCTCTATACTCTCAAATTGATTGACACAAACCGATTTTGATGTATCCTTCGTATTACACTTTGTTGAATCTTCCGAGTTGTATATCTAGAAAACATTTAAAATAACTTTTCAATTTATTTTTACTCATGGACTTTTTTCATGTTTCGTTTAACTATCAAATTTCAGTTGGTACTAATTGCAAGCTAATACTTACAACGCCAGTTGGCTCCTGATCATAAGTAGGTGCTGGTTTCGACGGTTTCGAAGGACCATTTCTGTACTGTAACATAGCTAATTGTTGTACTTTTGTATTTTGACATTCCCCGAGACCTCGTACTTGTATCCAGTAAGTGTCCACAGGTTTATTTGCATTCAAAATGACATCTACTCGTTCTCCTGTGTATAGGAATACGCACGAAGTTGAAATTATTTATTAATTCAATATAAATTTAATAAATAAAATTTCAAGAAATGTATATGACCTGCAGCTGTAACAATGGCGTTCACTTTTTTAGGTCTCACGTTTGCACCGTCCTGTGCAATTACAAGAAAATCATGATCCTGTATCCTTAATTCTGCCAAGCATACTGTGGTAAAGGCGTTGATTATACGCATTCGATACCGTTTTCCTTTTGTCACCGTAAATGTTGCCAATGGTGCCTGCAGATGAAATACCTAAAAAATTAAGAAAAAGTTTTAGAAATTTTTACAAATAACAACAGACAACTGTATATAATTTTAAGTAAGTGTACGTTCTTTTAAATGAACAGAAAGGTCTGATATAAATATATTCTACAAATTAATCAGTATATTTCTTACCTTAGAATGTCCCAGACCATTTATCAATATATTATCCGCAAATTGTCCTAAATTATGCCTGTACCGACCAGGGAAACGTTCCAATGACAATTCATGCATCCAATCGCTAAGGACCATTATATGTTCATCTTTATCATATAAATTTAAGAAAGGTTCTTGGTTTAGAGGTGGTTTTATAATAAGAGGACCGTATTGCCCGTCTAACATGTGCGTTGATATGTGGGAATGATAGAAATGCGTTCCTGGATTTTGCGCCACGAAGTCGTATCTATTATTCAAGAAATTAGAAGAAAATATTGAGTGAAACTATAGAATCAATATGTTGCAGATTCTAGTATTGGAAATATTTGGCTAAAATCCTTTTACCTAAACGTCGATGAGGAATGAATTGGACATTGAGTAACATAAGGAACACCATCATAATATTGAAATCCATTTTGGTAAAGTCCGTGCCAGTGGATTGAAATTTCCACACCCGATGCTGCGTTTTCTACGTCGACTATGATTCTATCATTTTTACACACCTACGAAATATATTATATGTTACAAGTATTTATTAATTTTTTAAGGAAACAATCCACGTATATAAAAATTTTAGACGTCAACGAATACATGAACTGTACTTAAGAATGATTTACTTTCATTTTTAAAGTCGTTTGTACGAAACAGATCTTTAAATGTAAAAATCTTGAAGAAGATCAGTTTATTTATTATTAACAAAATCCGGTAGAAAATTGTTTATTGAATATACCTCAATTTTTGGACCTGGTATTTGTCGATTAATAGGTAGCACTGTTTTTTCAAATCCATCACCATAAATACACTGACTTAGGAAAGCTTTTTCATCGCAAGCACTAGAAACGATTGAAATGAAACATGTCATTGATTATAAATTAAAAAGATACCTGTAGCATTAAATATATATATTAATTTTGTATAATACGTACGGTCCTACTGTCGTGTAGTAAGCAATGTGGAATTTGTAGTAACAAATTTTTGGTGCTTCGTTATTTCTACAAGGCCGCGCGCATTCTTCAGGCGTTGATACGTTTACACCCAATTCGGATATGTCCCAATCGTAATAATTGTACCCTGTATAAATATTATGGAAAGAGACATTAAATATTACAGTATTACTATCAGAAAATGAAAATTGTAATAAAACACTACAGATATAAATAAGATGAATTTTATCAAAGAAATTCTCTTCTTGAAATTAAAATAAGAATGGAAGAAAAGTTTTCATTTGAAATTTCTTTCTTAAAAGGCAGAGTTCAAAATACGACTGACAATTAAAGTCTTATCAATTTTGTTATGTAAAGAAAAATGACAGTATTACCATTGCAAAGTGAAATGTCTCAAACAATTATTGCTGAGGATTCGCAGTAATTAACATTGCATCCCTAAACTGGTTCAGCTTAATTATTACTATATATTCGAAAAAGAAAAACAAATACTGTATCTTCTATTTCTTCTAGTATCAGTGTTATAGTTTGTACAGTTAAATTGTAGAAAGCGGTTTTTAAGCCTACTTTTCTTTTCTGTTTTAAAGTTTGTATGTAAAGCAGCCGTCTCGTTATGAAAAAGTTAAGTTTTCCACAAACTAATTTATTCACTTGTTACGTGCTAGAATGTCACTAGCTAACTGAAATGCGAGTTTATCGCGTTTTTACATGTTCATATTCCTTAATAAAGACACTATCGAACTGCGAAATCTGACGACAAGGCATTTACATATTCGCGGCGACAAACAACCGACGTGAATAACGTCACTGCAATTCAAATGATTAACTAAATAACCAATTAACACAGCTAAATGTTTATTTGTAAACCCCCAAGGAAATAAAAAAGCAGTATATACTTATTTAAAGAGCTATTATTATTTTTTAAGGTCAGTTTTATCTTTTAATGTTCATAGTTAGGCAATATTAGCAAAATAATTGGCGGAGTAAAGACCATTTGAATAATGCGTTTGTTGACGAATATCTAAGTAATTTGGTGACTCTAATTGTCAGATTAACTCAATCGCGGAAAACTTCAATAGTTTTCCAATATTTTATTTTTTCAAAATTTCGAAATTTTGTGTTTAGAAATTTTAGAGTGCTGGTGCCTGAAGTTTTGGAATTTTAAAGTTTCAAATTTTTGAAGTTTTGAACTTTTCAGGTATTATAGTTTTGAAGTTCGAAAATTCTAAGGTTTTGAAATTCTATAATATCCAAATTCTCAAGTTCCCAAATTCTCAATTTCCCAAATTCCACATTCATAATTCCCGAAGTCAGAAAATTTTCAAATTCTCGAATTCCCTTATTCCCTAACTACCCTCTTTCAAAATATCGAGCATCGTTTTCAAAAATGGTAATTTCAACCCCATCATTAATGCACCGCTTTTCTCATAGTTTACCTTTGTATTACATCAATATAAATCTTAAATTATACTGAAAATAACTTATAAATATATAAATATTAAATAAAAGTATTTTCAAAAGAAAAGACCAATTGTACGTAAAGTTAGAAAACCATGTAGACCCACACAATGCATCAATTAAAAAATAAATTTATATTATACTTACAGCAATACGACTGTTTCGTGCAGACGAGTAAAAGTAAAAATAAAGTGTACAATTTTATAAAATTTCTAGAAATATCGTGAATGATCGACAATCGAATGTACATTGTCTTTCACGTATAATTCTGAACTGTGCCGAGGAGTTAATAAATTTTTACCATTTATTTTCTGTTTCGATGAACAACTAAACTTGTCTAACGTACGGGGGCACAATTTATAGGAAAAATAGAAGCAATTTGAACACGAAAAATTATCGACTGACATTTCCGGCTACCGCATTGGTCTTTAATTATATCGTACAACTTATCATTTGAAAGCTTTTCGACACCACTTTTAAATTATGCGATGGCAAGGACATCGTTTGATACATGGATTGATAGGAATACATATAATATTCATTACATTTTACTTATACATGGGAAACATTATTTGCGTTAAATCAATGCAGGTGTACACGTCGTCAGAAATTTACAAAATTTTTTAATCTAGGCGGTGTAATTGCGAATCGTTTATAAAATTTATTCTTATTCGAAACTGTTATCCTTAGTATACGTACTTCTATTAACACGGTATTAATTTATCTTTTTTGTAATAAATAACCAAATCGGTATTTTCATCTACTTAATGTGGTACTAAAAATAAGAAAATTAGACCTTAGAGTAGATGTTTACAAAAAATGACAAGTTGTTAATAATTTTAGCAAGTAATATTTAATCTCAAATTGTGGAGGGAAGTTATCAATATTGAAATTGAAGTTAAGTAGTTTTTGAGTAGTGTTACGAATGTTGCCATAAATGTTTGTAGGAGTGCAGTATCGCTGAATAACAGATATTTATGTAAATACATATTTTACATAAACCTCGGAATATTTAAATTTTGCGATTTTAAACTTTTCAATTTTATAACTTCCTGATGTTGGGAGTTTTCAATGTCGAGAAATATATTGCAAGTGAAAACGATCTTTCTCTAAAAACTTAGCTTACAAAAATTTAGAAACCTCTGTTATAAAAAGAGAGAGCAAGGATCATAATTCTTTGTACCAAAATAAAATTTATGGATGATGATGTAACAGGCAAAATCAGAAACTTCAATCTTTTTACTTCAAATGATTTATTAGATTCTTGTTACATTCACAATATATGAGAAAGTAACATTTTTTAATATACACGATCTTTTCAGCGATGCTTCGATTAATACCGTCGCTGTTTCACCTTGATAACATTCATTGATTATTGTGCTGTTGTTTATTACATCTTCGCAAATTTTTCTTAATTTATTTCTTGTGCATTACCGAAGGTCAAGTTCAATTGACAAACAAATTTGATATTTTAATCCTAATACTGAAAAGCGTATGTACCGAGTAATTAAGATAACTAAATGAACATAGTAAATAATTAGTACACAAATTTTAATGGTACCAGGAAAAAGTAATTTCTCTTGTTTACTTTGTCATTACAAACAGTACACAAATTTGAACATTATCTATTTTATTCATATTTGAATGATTTATGAGTAACCGTATGAATTTAACAAAAATATTTGTTAATACCAGTTAAAATCGATGTTTATTCTTAATTTACAATAAAATTCATATCGCACCAAGCTTAAAATCACTAAATTCATTAGGTTCATCAAATAATCGATCCGTTTCCTTCATAGTTCATTTGTATAATTCATGTTCCATATCCATACCAGTTGTACATGTACCGAGATATTAAATCTCCCTTGATTTATTACATATAATCAAACATAAATTATTCGTACAGAAAAATGCGTTTTGCATAATTTATGTCTAAATGCGAATTGTGACATATGCTAATTAATATAAATAAATTTGTGGCAGCATTAATTCGTACAAAAATACGACTGCATTTCTCTTTCAATCAAGTTCTTCGATATATTGAGACATACATCAACAAATCTGCAATATTCGTTCGCTTAAATAAATATCCTAAAAGGGCTGATATTTTGAAATGAAGAATATTTCGATTGAACGCAAAATATGCGCCACTAGTATGTTCATATATTGTAAGAAATCCATTCCCGGCTTTTAAATGTATAAAGATTTACAAAAACTTCTTAACAGTATTTTTATATAAGCTGCTAATCGATTTGTAGATGAGATCACATCTTACTCCTCCAGGAAGAAATATTGTCCAGCTTTCTTCTGTTCCAAATCCTGTTAAACAACACGGTAAACATATTATAAAATATCATAAATTGTTTATCTATTCATTATTGAAAGATTAACATGTAACGTTACGTGCCTTTACAGATTGACTCTTATTAATTCTTGGTCGGAAATTGTTTGGATCTCTTCTGAAAGTGATACCTAAGAGTTCTAAAAATCTGTTCATTCCATTCAGTAAGGACTGCGGACTATGAGCTGTAGTTGAAAGAGATGGAGTACCAGAAAATACGATTACACGGTCAGCCAAATAAGTTGCCATAATGAAATCGTGCTCTACTACAAATCCTGTTTTCTTTGCATGTAAAATAAACCTATAATAATAAGATAAATTTTAATGATCTCTTAAATGTGTTTCAATGTATTTCAGTAATACATTCATTATGGTAATAAGAAAGAATAAATAGAATTGTTCTTTACCGTTTTATTACTTTAGCTGCAACTAAACGTTGTTCAGAGTCCAAATAAGCAGAAGGTTCATCAATCAAATAAACATCAGCTGGCTTTCCAAGACATAGAGCTAAAGCTACTCGCTGTAACTCTCCACCAGAAAGATTCTGTACTTCTTGGTCCATAATATCATCTATCTTCAATGGTTTCATAACATCAGTTACAAACTGAGGGTGGACATAAGCGTCCCTTATCTTTTCATGCAATAACTGTCGAACAACGCCTTGTGATTTAGGACTAATTTTCTGTGGTTTGTAACTAATATGTAACTGAGGAATATTTCCTGTAAACAATAAAATTGTACAATAACTAATTTTAAATGTAAAGAGTTAAAATGTACAAAATAGACTGAACTTACCAGAACCATCATCAGGTGGCAAATTACCAGCCAACATTCTGATGAACGTCGTCTTCCCCGTTCCATTTTCTCCAAGTAATACAAGAATTTCTGAATCCGTGAACTGACCCTTCTCGACATCTAATTTAAACGAACCCATTGTTTTCGTCATCGCAGGATACTCATAGTGATTCATACGTTTAACTTCTTCTTCAGTCGCGCTTTCGGCTACTTTAAATACAAGAGATTCCTCACGGAATCTCAGATTTTCCGTTGGCACAAAACCATCAAGGAAGATATTAATACCTTCCCTTACAGAGAAGGGCATAGTAACGACACCGTATGCCCCAGGAACACCATACAGACAACAAATGAAATCTGACAAATAGTCTAACACTGATAAGTCATGTTCCACTACTATAATAAACCTGTTAATTTTAGTGAATTGTTAATTGCGTAAAGAATGCAGTTTTATTATTATTTTATGGTATTAATGTTAACTATTTACTTGTCAGGATGAATAAGGGACCGAATCGTCAACGCAGCGTTAAGACGTTGTTTTACATCTAAGTATGAAGAAGGTTCATCGAACATGAAAATATCTCCATTCTGAATGCATACCATAGCACAAGCAAAACGTTGAAGTTCTCCACCAGAAAGTGCGTCGATACCTCTGTCACGTATGTGCATTAAATCTACAAATAATTACATTTCTCACTTTTTATTTACAAGGCAACATTTTCATTCAGTTTTATTATTACTTATTTAGAACTTTGCAATTTGCATCCATACAAATTTTAGAAGCTATGCTTTAGAGCTATTAACCACCAAACCCTAGTAAAAGTGAAAGTATAAATAACAATACACATGCTGGGAGTGTAAAGGGTTAACTTCAATTCTGAGACTACATTGCATACTTTTCAAAAATATGTACAACATTTAGTATTAATACTAACTTACCCAACATTTTACAAATTTCTAGCTGATTCTTGCACTCATCCTTCTTGTCTAATAGTTGTTGTACAGTACCTTTTACAGCCTTAGGAATTTGATCTACATACTGAGGTTTAATAAGAGCTTTCAAATCATCTTCTAATATTTTGGTAAAATAGTTTTGCAATTCACTACCCCTAAAATGGCTTAAAATTTCTGTCCAGTCTGGAGGATCCTGTATTAATAAAATAAACCAATTTTGTAAAATTCATCAAAAATTACATTATAATATACAAAGAGCACATAGCTATACATACAGTAAATCTGCCTAAATTAGGCTTCTGCTTTCCTGCCAAAATTTTAAGAGCAGTTGATTTACCAATACCATTGGTACCAACTAAACCTAATACTTCTCCAGGACGTGGAATTGGTAGTCTATGAAGTTTAAATGAATTTTTCGAATAACGATGAGTAGTTTCTTTTTCTAAATTGCTAGGAAGATTGATAATAGATATTGCCTCGAACGGACATTTCTAAAAACAAAAGTAATATTATAAATAATAAAAATGTCATATTCTTAACAGTTTGCTTGCAAAATTTGTAATCATACCTTAACGCAAATACCACACCCAATACATAATTCTTCAGAAATTGATGCTATTTTACTATTTGGATTGACTTCTATACAAAGTTTGCCCATCCTAACTACTGGACAAGATCGTTTACATTCTTGTCTACATCTTTTTGGTTTGCACTTATCAGAATTAACAATAGCTATACGGGTCAAACGATCTGTTTCTTCCATAGACTTTTTTGGCGGCATGATGGTAAAATATTTATCTGCCTGAAAATTATATGTAATATAAAGTTAACTTTATCTTAATATTAAATAATTGACTTATAGTTAATAGTACTTATAAAATTATTAATGAAGAAAAATATAGAAAAACTCCTGAATGCTTAAAAATTATATACAATTGTCAATTTATTTAAAAAAAAGAAATTTAAGAATATGACAACTATTTTAATGTACAAAATCATTTTTCAGATTGATAATATCATTAAATAATTAAAAGATATCAAACAAAATTCAACATATGTTCTACTTGTACCCTTTTGAAAACAATAGTCATTTGACTAATTAGAATGTAAGATAAAAATTCATCAATTAACGCTGAACATTTTACAAAAGAATTACTTCGTAACTGTACAGTAATTAAAATATATAATTTCATTTTTATTACAATTCTTAATTCCACCACGAGCTTATAACCTCATACAATTAAATGTAAAACATGCTACTACAGGAGTACTATGAATAGAATAACGTAAACAACAAAATTAATTTAATTAAAATATATTACGCCATTATTTCATGATATTTAATAAGCACGCATACAAATATATACCTGTCAAAATTAAAAACCGTAAAGGAAACTCCTTTACAACCTTTTCGAAGGAGTTTCCACACTTCTACACCGCCGCATGTCTTGATTTTGGTCATAGAATATAGAGAGATGGAGTACTTACTAAAAATAAAATTTACTATATTTCATTCGATGAGAGAATAATTTTTCTAAATAACGAATCCTAATTTCTTCTGAGTAAGGTAACTTTGTTTGATTCCCTAATTTATGGTATCTAACAAACAGAAAGCTTCATAACTTGAAACTTCTTTTGAAAAACTTCTGTTTTATAACCATTATTAGAGTTATCATCTTATTCTCCCTAATCGTTCATTTTGTCCTACCCTAAAACCTGCCCTAAAAGGAACAAAATTGATATAGAGAGGTATCACACATCTCACAGATCTCCCTAGGCTGTTGAACTGCACAGATGTAGGTTACTCTTGTGAATGAAGCACAAGCTATAAAACGCTAAATTATTACTCATAAATCATATATTTCTGTCATAAAACTTGCTTTCATATCCTCATTAGGGTTTTGTGATAAAAATATAAACTTTTTCACATAAAATTGCAGTAAAGTTGCATTATAAATTTCATTGGGTGTTTCCAAAAATCATTTATGTCACGCCACCTAGCTCAATATTCTGCACCTCTCATGAAACATTATAAAGATTCATTCTGAAGTTTTGTGTATAGAATAATAGGAATTACTTAAATATATCATCTGATTTTATAGTGAGTACTATTTTAAAATGGTACTTATTTTAATTCTCGACGATCTTAAGTTTTTAGCTATTTAAGGAACTCTTTGTCATTTAATGTGAGCAAATGTTACTCTGTTCACATTTAGTTTAAAACAAGTGTCAAGTGACAGTTCTTAGTAATTCTTTTATTTGTAATATTTGGTATGCTAACGTAATATAAAAAAATAATATCTCGTAACGTAGTGTATTACTTATAATTACTACTTATACTTAGCATTTTTTATTTGTAACAACTTTTGCAAATTTCAATGTTATAAAAAAAATGGCGGTTTCGCATAAATATCTATCCTTTCTATAAACTTCTTAATTATTATTTGCTTATTAAATATTTTTATATAATTATAGCTATACAAAACAGTTTAGCATTTTTGTGACATAAATTTCTTTTCTTGTTAACTGGATTTAGTAAATTTCTTGTAGTATATTTTAGACTTGTGTTAAGAAATATGTTCAGTATAATAATATTTTTTATTTAATATATTACATATAGCTATTACATTAAGTGGAATGGAGCGAAGTATTCATGAAATGTTAAAAGATGCCCCATCTTTAAATGATAGTGATAGTGCAGTCCACAGTGGGACTCCTCCACCTCATGTACCAAACAATTGTAGTAATGATAGTCAACCAAGACCAGCTACAATAAATTTAACTTTGGGTAGTCCTACTTCACAAGTGTGTAAGTAACTTTAATGATATTTAAATACATTATAAGAAATTAAATACTTGTTCTAAGACTGACATAAGCATATCCTTGTAATAGCTGTAACAGTATCACCAAACACGCCTATCCAAAATGGTGATACACAAACAATGCGTACTGCTCAAAGTAAAATTGAAAGCATTAAAAATTGGAGTATTTCTACTTACAAGTGTACAAGACAATTAATGTATGAAAAACTTGGAAAAACATCTCGTACAGTGGATTCAGGTAAGTTCTGAATATATTTTAATTGTTTATATTCTATAAATATAATTGTTCTTATATTTTTAGAGCTTGAAACACAAATTGAATTATTAAGAGATACTCAGAAAAAATATTGTAATGTTTTACGATTATCAAGAGCATTAGCTTCTCACTTTCATCATGTTGTTCAAACACAACATGCTTTAGGAGAAGCATTTTCTGAATTAGCACAGAAATCTCCAGAATTACAAGAAGAGTTTCTATACAATTCAGAAACACAAAGAAACTTGACTAAAAATGGTGAAACATTACTAGGGGCCTTAAATTTTTTTGTTTCATCCGTAAATACACTTTGTAATAAAACTATTGAAGACACATTACTTACAGTACGACAGTATGAAACAGCAAGGTAATGAAATGGTACAGTATTTCAGTAAAAAATATGTTACATATGATTATAATAAATACTATTAATCTATTTACAGAATAGAATATGATGCCTATAGAACAGATCTTGAAGCATTAGCACAAGCAACAAAATCTGATGGTAGCAATGCAGCAAGATTAGAAGAGGCACAAGCTAATTATGAAGAACATAAACAAAATTTTGAAAAATTAAGATCAGATGTTTCAATTAAACTCAAATTCTTAGATGAAAATAGGGTATGTTTTTTTATATTCATTTATTTTTTTTAATATTTTTAATATTCTTATTACTATATTCTTGTTACAGATCAAGGTAATGCATAAACAGTTATTACTGTTTCATAATGCTGTCTCTGCATACTTTTCTGGTAATCAAACAGCACTAGAAGCTACATTGAAACAATTTAACATAAAGATTAAATCACCAAATTCATCTTTACCATCGTGGCTGGAGCAGTAGTTACTCTAAAAGAAATAAATGCATGTTTTCAAAGGTATGAATAAAAGGCACATTCGTCCAAACGAATTTCTTTCTAAACAATGGAGGAAATGACAAGGTAGAATAACTTCAGAAGTTCTCAGAAATGTTACAAAACACTGCTGTTAAATAATTTATCATTTCAAATGATTTTTGGAGCAGAAGTGGATAAATAATGTAAAATCAGACTGAATTTTTTCTCTTTAACATTAGCCAATATCTGTATGTGGTTCATGCATCAGCAAATCTTGATTATTAGTTAAAAATATGCCAGCTGAAGGATTTGGTAAAATCTCTCTTTATTCAATAGTGATGCTTATAAAACTTTAAAGGCAATAGATATTTAATTTTTATATCAGGCTTCTTAGAGAAGTCCTAATGTAAATACATGAAATACGATATACTGAGCTTTGAATTTTATAGTATGTACAAAACAGTATTCATTGGTTCTTTATATTACATTTTGCACCAGTCTAATAGGTATATCACTGTTGCTAATAAGAAAACCAGAATGAATTGAAGAAAGTTTTAAGGTTACATATTTTTTGTACTTTTTATCCCATTTTATGGATCAAATGTCGATTGAATTTTAATTATTCATCTCAACTCGCTACATAATCATTTATTCTTCATTTGAACACATATAAGTTAATGTGTTTCATTAAGCCATATATAATTACATAACAGTTTTAATACTTCCTAATATGTATTAAATTTTGTATATTTCTATATCTTATTTATTGTATTTAAATGTTGACGTCATGTTCATATATTTACTGATTTTTAAATCAAAATTAACTGTTTTAAATATGTTAAGAGTAAAATGAGTTATCAAACTCCAAACTAAACGGTATTCTTAGGTCATCTTGCTTTTTCTGTCCAATTTTTTAACGTATAAATAAGAGCTTTTAACGATGAAAGTTACTTAATTTTGACCTAATCAAATTAATTTATTAATTATATTTAGTAACTTATCAGTATATAAAAGTAAGAAAATTACATTCACATCTTATATCATATTTTTTATGATTTAATTTTTACAAGTACTTCAAAGTATTAAAAAGAAGGTATACATATATTTATGTAACTTTTCACACAGAATGTGAAAGTACAATTTCATTAGACATGATTATTTTTAATCAAAAGTATTTATATTGAAGTAAAAAAGAATTATTGTTGTAAAACAGAAATATACTAGTCATATTTTTTAAGCAAAAAAATTAATGAATTGAAATTAAGATCTGTTATTTACTACTATGATTATTACCCTTACTTAAGTTTTTTTAAACCAGCAATACATGTCTGTACTAAGACATTACAGATAATTACGCTTCACAAATAGAAAATTCTTAGTATAGATAAAATAGACATGTGTACATTATCATTATTGTTTATTGCTTCAATTCATAGTTTATACTGAAATGAATAGTAATTTAAACTATAAAAATTAATCTATTAACAATATGATACCAGAATGTTTTGTCATAGATATTCAAATAAAATTCTTCCAGTGAGATCATAAATGACTCTTTTAATGTGCATAAAATAATACATATGTAACTGAACTGTATATGTGTTCCATATACAATTCACTATATTTTTTAAACTTCCAAAAAGTCTCATCATTGTAAATTTAAAACAATAATGATAAACAGTAAGATAAGATCTATGACCCATGACATAATAATATTTTATTTTTTGTAATTTAGTTTTATATACTGTGCAATCTCTGAAGATGATTAATTTCTTCTTTTTTATATTTTGTTAAAATCCATAAGAAATGCATTCCATTATTTGAACATTTTTGTTAGGAATGTTTTAGGCCAATGAAATACATTGTAATTAAATAAAAATAAAATCTTTTATTATTAAGTAGAAATAAGAATGAAAAATAATGTTGAATAACTTACATAACTGAAATGTGCAGTTTGAGCACTTTTTAATTTATAAAACATGTAGCGACTGTATTTTGTTCCTAATCATGATGTTGTTGTGTGTATATTATGTGTATACAAACTCCAAATAATAAATGAATGCTTATATATATAGTGCTTTTTATGCTATTTTTGCTACTTAATATTAATACTTTTTCTGTATTAATATTGGGTTTTCATTCTACATCTACAAATATAATGCTGAAAATTATTTATTATTGATTTATTCATTTCTTAAAATATAATATTGATTTATGATGTACATAACAATAAAAAACAATCAGTAACAGTTACATAATTTCAGGTGTATATACATATATTTATAGCAATATACAATTTTCTTTTCAAAAATATTTAAAATTACATGAGGTACTTGAAAATATTATTTTTTTGGAACAATAACAGAAAATACAATTAATTAGATTTGTCAAACTATGTTTTATTTTCAACACTTTGTTCGTTTTGCACTTGTGTCTCTAGATTTGCTTGAGATTTCTGAAATTCTTCCACATTTTTACGAATAATGAGAGGCTGTACTTCCATAAATATTTCCATTATTTTATGATTAGCATTAATGTGTTTGCCTGAACAATTTTCTATACATTGATCCTATAATGTATTTAAAAATGATGACTTTGGATTCCTTATTAATTAAATTTCTTTACTATTATGTTATGCCAAATGTACACTATAAATAAAATAATATACTACAAATATTAATTATAAAACACACCTCATCAATAGAGACATCCCTTGAAATAAATGTACTCACACAGGTTTTAAAACATGTTTCAGAAATTTGATTATACAGAAGTTGAAAGTCCTTGATCTATAAAATAATAATTATATAAAAATGTTTTCGTGGTTACTTATATTCATAGGTTAGGAATCAGTACTTCATTAATAAAACAAGTCAATAACAGTCAAATACATTTCTAACAAATGAGGTATCCATGTTTAAGTAATATTCTTTAGTTTTCGGTTGTAGTAATGTAGTTCGTTTGCAAAATTTTAGTATTTGCCGGTCCTTTCATTAAGGTTAGTTTGCCACTATAATTCTTCGCTGCGTAATGAGTATTTTAACTCACGTTCGATAGATTTTACACTTGCTTGCATATAAAAATTACTTCTCGTAATGAAACAGTAATAAATTACATTTATAATTTAAATTTTATTTCATTGTACAATCACTATATACATATAATTTTATCAATGAAAAGACCGTACGCGTTCATCATATGTTTTTGATCATTCTGCGCATGTCAAATTTCATTGGTTGAAACTCATTTTTTCACCAAAAACAATGCACATGCGCGTTTGTGACTTTCATAAAATGCATATACCCAGTAGACTTTGTTTTATATATTCTTTATATTAGATGTGTGACGACTGTCAAGTATATAGGTGTGGAATTTGCAAATTTGGGTGTCTAAAAAGTTGAAAGTTTGGTGATAAGCAAATGTGATACACAAGCTATCATTTAGTCATGCTTGTTTTGTATCGTCTATTTTTCCCGGGCATTTTTATTTCATCCGCCATTGTATATATGGTGGACCGAGTGTAAAGCGTACAGTGTTGTGGTAATATTAACGGGTGGGGAGTTTACTAAAGTTAGTCTCGATGCACGAAACAGGTATGATCTTTCGTTGAACGAATTCATAAACATTATTAAAGATAATAACTCTAGTTTCTTTATCTAAACATAAAGTTAATCATATATTTAATATTGTATCTAACTCGTCATAATGTTAATACATACCAGCACATAGTTACATATATCTACGTACCACTACATATAAACGTGTGTAAAATGTAACATAATCTTTCTATACACATTTCGTACACTATTATATGTCATATGGTTTGGAACAATAATGTACATTTGCGTGAGAAGCATATTTTAATAAAAAGTTCCATGTTTCGATATCAAGAAAAAGCGCGCTTTTATCGGTGAAGTTCGTGACCACTCGGCTAAGATCGGATCGAGTCGTTTATGATTGGTTGTCGGATTCGAGTCAGCGAAACGTGAATCAGTCAGCGTTGACGGAACGAAGGATCAAGTTCGACTGGAATCATTGTGGAAACAGAAGATTTGTCGGTGCGTGTCGCCGGTGAATGAAGCGGGCTAATTATTACGTGCGATGGCCGCGTGCTATAGCGAGCAGGCAGCATCCACTTCAGGAAACGTAACGAAAAAGTCGCCTGCGGCCGCCGCGAAACCAGTCTGCTGGCAACACAGGCTGTTCGGTAAACAACTGTCGCGGTGCAGTCAGGTTAATCAGCAAGAAACAAAACCGTGCGATGCAAGTGGTACTATCGTTGACGACGATGGCCAGCCGACTTGTGAGGTGATCGGTGTGTACTTTAGTTTTATTAACCCCGGTGCTACCTGCGATGACTTTACGCGTCAGCTGCTCGACCTTTACGCGAGTGTCAATTCGTCGCACGCGGAAAATGACCGAGATGCTGAGAGTTCTGGCAGAGGAAGGGAAAGGAGGAAAAGGTTCGAGGTCGTGCACGTGGTTCTCTGGAGTAACGTAGCCGATGTCCTCGACTTTGAAGAGAGTTTTCGTGCACACGTTTCGGAATTACCCTGGTTAGCGGTACCGAACCTAGATTACGAAAGAAAGGTAAGTTACATCTCTTTTTGTACTTCTCACCGGTTACACTTGCTAATAAGCCCTTTGATAAGATAAATTTGTAATATCAGTAGTTTCACTATGATTTATAGTACCATTGGTATTGAAACTTTTTACTAACGCGCTTTAGTAATCTATGGTGATTTATTGATATCATTTAACATTGTCAAGATTCTTTAAAAATAGTATCAGTCAAGCTTTTTATAAAGTATACGTTTAATCACAAGATCTGTATACAGCTTAATGCGGTACTTATTGTTTAGTGCAATCTCGCTATATGACTCATTTAGTAAATTATTGTTTATACGAACTTTCACATTATTTATGTGGACGTAGCGCAGATGACCTATCACACAATTTCAAAAGTTGTCTCTGGTCGATGAATACGATCACAAATTCTCCATTGAATGTAAATTTTCGACAGGGTTTCGCCAATCAAAATTTGCATGGAAAGAGTCCAATTTATATGACACATTCCACAATTTTTTATACATCTGTCCTGTCAGTATTACATAGAGAAACACTATTACACTTTCGCCGAGTATTTTCATCGAATAACGAACGTACGAATGATTACGTTTCTCTGCCCCCTTTTTCTGGTTCAATCCGATGTCACCGACTCTTTATCGTTCAATCGTGCAGGCATGCATGAACTTCAATTAAATTCAATTAAATAATTAGACTCGGTTTTTAAGTTGAATAATGATCGCTCGTTGGTACACTCGTTCAGATAATTTATAAGTTCTTGGAACTTTAAAACAATTAATAACTGTTCGAGATAATAGTATCGGGAATTATGCATTCAAAACTTCTACCGAGAATAAAATTTTTATGGATACGATATGCTGAATATTAAGTAGCAAAGAAGTACAGCGATTGTTAACCTCGGTTAGTACAATATGGGTGCACTTAATATAATTTAACCCTAATTCAATTTATTCTAAAATAGTTGACCTAACTTCAACCTTATGTAATTATAAATTTATCTCAATATCAGTGGACCTAACCTAACCTTAACATAACTATTTTTTTTAATGGCGGACCTAGCCTAACTGTAACATATTACTAACCTAACTTGACCTAATATAAATTAACCTAACCTGATATATTTCAACGAATGAGTTACACTATTTTTTATATATCTGCAGGAATTAAAATATTTTTGCTAGTTAACCTTAATACAACTCTTATCTAATTTTTTTTACTGGCGGACCTAACCTAACCGCAACATAATCTAACCTAACATGACCTAATATAAATTAACCTAACCTAATATATCTCAACAAATGATTGAAGTTACACTATTTTTTTACATATCTACAGAAATTAAAATATCCTTGCGACGATTATGTCTTTTCATGCAAAATCACTATAATTTCAATAGTTTTTCTCTATGTTACCCCGTGTATCTTTGCATTTGTATAAGCTCACGTTTCACGATCATTCGGTGTATTTTTTTAACGGGCTGTGGGAAATTTACGGTCAGACGGTATGATCAATTCAGGCGAGTGTATTATTCGAAATTTGTATACACATGCCTGTCATAAAGTTACATATGTACACATAGACGGGCACACATGCCGTTATGCAGAAGGACCGTGCGCGCAGCGCCTTTTTTATTTCCAGCGGGTGTTTTAACCCCTCGCCAGACGTGCTATTTAGGGTCCGATTTTATTTGCACCGACACACGAGGCAGAGTCGACTTTCTCTAACTAAAAATCGTTCGTAATATTTTCCACAACGCATCTGCTACCGTCGTTTGCCCTGCAAACTTTTAGTTTAAGCCGTTTTTTTTTCGGCGTAATTCTTTCCTTCGTTAATAGTTTTTAATTCTTTTTTTACATTTTCCACTGTCAATTAGTGCTAATTATTTTTCTGGAAGTCAACTTTCATGGGTTATCATTTCATAAGTTTATTTAACGTCAATTTTACCGAGGGTGATGTGTCATAGGCTATGATATATGTAGATGGGTTAGAACATCTGAGAAGCAAAGTAGTGTTAAATACAAATTAATTTTTTTACAATTTTAATTTATTTTTATACGTAGAATGATTCTTTTGTGGCGGCATAATATTGTAACGCCTTATACACAAGATTTAATAACGAACGTAATTTTTGTGGCGTTCGAAATCCATCAGATAACGCAACTAAGTATCTAATTGAAAATACATGAATTAATAAATTCAATTCAAGATGTTACTCGTAGCAATTAAAGCAGACGGTGGAACTGCTTCGTACATTGATCTTTTCATCACCCACGCACCTCGATGACGCACGCATGTATCTCTTGTTTCAAAAGTTTGAGTGACTCTGGCGTTACATTACGGCACTTTGAACACCCATAGCATATATTCGCATTAGCGCGGGAATTTTTATACAAGTTTACAAGCTTCGATCGTATCGCACAGTTACTGAAGGGGGTTCCATTAAGACGCATCGATTTTACACAATTTATGCAGTACAAAATTATTACACATTCATGAGTTTAAAAATAAAATTCTTTCGGAATTTCGTGTCATAGCGAGATCTCATCCGATCTGTCCCGAAGTCACCCGACGTCCCGATCTCGAAGGTCTGTAATCTCGCACACTTCAACCCTTAAGGCATCCAAAAAAGAGATAAGGATATGCGCGGTTTGTATGCAGAGCTTCAGGGTAATAACTCGTATAGCATCCATGTCACAAAACTTGTATGTAAGATGAATATTTTTGATACTTGTGTGTATACGAATTGGTGTACAAATGTAAGAGACGATCGGAGTTCGTTATTCCCTCACTTTTTTCCACGATCATTAGTCAGGCCACTCGAGCAGTTGGTGTCTGTGATGCATATACATACACTCAATAGTCTGATTCGCGAGTAAATGTAACGATAAGCGTCCTGCGCAATTAGCGTCAAGTAGCTTCGTGATTCTTCCTTGCTTGTTATTCCGCCTATCTACCCGATCCACGCTGAGAATCACCCCCTTGAAATCGTAGATTCTTTGTATACTGTTCCATTCATTTAACAATAAGAAGAGCAACTTCGGTTTATGAAATGCTGTGAGCAGAAGGAAAACATCGAATTCCCGGTCTTCTTATCTGGCATTGAAAGTAAGTTAAGAAATCTGAGACGAGTACCCTTTTTTAACCGCGAATTCTGATTACAGAAGTTACAATGTATACACCCGTAATGAATGTATATAGCCACATAAACTACGTTTTATCTGGGAAATGTATAAAATTATGTAAAAAAGCATGGGTCTTACGCTTCGAGAATTTCGGAACGGGACGGAAACGCTTCGGGCGAGATCGGGTGAGATCGTAAGATTGACATGTCTCGAGATCCCCAACATTTCGGAAGTAGACACGAATTTCTCAATTTACAAACTTTTAGGATTTTAAACTCCTAGGTGATTACATTTATAAATTTAAATGAAACTATATATAAAATTATATATAATTCTAATACAAAATTATATATAATTTCATAATATTATAAAATTTATAAAATGTGCAAGCATCTATTGTGCTGTTAATAAAGTTGAACAAGTAGGAAAGATGGACATTATATTTAGCAGATGTTGATTATCCTGCGGTTGACCTTTGATCCGACACAGCGTATCTTTACACGGTGATGCAGCGTAGCTGTCCAGTTTGACAAAATTGAACGGTAAGCGCCATAAAAGCCCGCGGTGCTAGGATATCCGCCGCTTGAACGGTGTAATAGAGCCACGGCTGCTCATCGTTTGTACGACGTAAACCGTTTCATAAAGGTACACGGCTTTGCCTTGAACGGGGAAACGCCGTAGAAAAAGAGTCAAGCCGAGCAGCCTTTCCATTCGGGGTGGCCGACCCATATCTTCTGCAAATAGCTTTCTCATTCGACCGGCGAGATCAAGAAAGCGACGGAAAGGTGGTAGCGTAGAGAGAGAAAATATATATTTACGTTTGTGTATATACGGTATCGGAAGGAAGGCGAGAGAGAGAGTGAATTGGGTGGCGATGCACAGGTCTCTTCCCACGAAAACGACTGAAACGGGAAGAAGAAAAAAGGAACGGGAGAAACGTTGGAATCTAGATAGACTTTGAGGTAGTTCGTACACAGAGTGGCCCGTACGCGGCGCTATGTAATCCTCGCTCCGTCTCCTCCGTCTTTCCTCCCCTGGCTCCTGTCTGCTTTTTAGCCGGCATATCGCGTAGATTACATACGACCTACTCGGCGATGGTCAAAGGAAATGTGAAGTACGTGCGAATCGCCCGAATAAATGTATTCCAGTGCCTATGACTCGAAAACTCGCGTGAAATCTCTTCGAACGCTTTGACGCCGTCGACAGTATCGCGGATAAGTGCTAGAAAATTGCGCAAGGAAAAAATTTAATGTTCCGCGCCATTTGTCGTGCGGACATGTCTTTTTACGCGGAAATTCCTTTCGTTAACTTCGTTCATTTTAAACCTTTTGCAATTTTATTGTTAGATCGTGACGTTTAGAGGTTGTAGGTTATACGCTATTAATATTTCATTGATGCTTCACGGTATTTATAACCCTAAGGTATCATTAAGGCTAATTCTAGTGAGTAAGTTCTAGGTTAAGCTCAGATTAAGCTAGGATAGGTCAAGCTAGGATTAAATGATGTTAAGTTAAATTGGAATTAAATTCGAGTTTAGATTATTACATTACGTCAAATTGAAGTTTCGTTGATTAGGGTCTTTTTCGTCGAAGTAATGGACCATTTGAAAGAGTTTCCCAGCGAGGGTTTTCTATCCGAGTATCACTGAACTCGGGTTCGTATTTTTACTATAGCAGTGCCTTCCTTTTGTGAGCAGCTTGACGACAACGCGATCGTGTCTCCATTGTCATTCGTAAGCCCTACGAGATCGATCCTTAACAGAATGCCAGAAGTTCTTCCATGTTCTACAACAGTTCAAGTCGTACACAAACGTGTATTCGTTTGCGTGTAATTGAAAGCGGTAGCTTAAGACGCTCCTGGGGTTGACCAATGGAAACAGTGGTCTCGTCAGTCTCGGTCGGACGAGAGATGTCGGGAGGCCGCGATATCTATATATAACAGGGGTGCACAACTCCGAATGCTGGAGATGAAAATTAAATGCATTGACTCGGTTAAAACGTTTAAAATAATTACAGCGACGAATAATTATATCGTTAATAATTATATTAACTTGTAGCATTCATAAATTAAATTAACTTGTTGATATTATTTTGTGCACCATAAGTTAATTTTCGTACGAATCTTTTGTGCAACCTTCAAATCTATTGTTCTAAAAAACGTGGATACGTACAATTAAGTTTTATTGTACGTTTTAAACTTATTTTTATATGTAGAACGTTAATAGAACACCTTGTACATTGATCCATAGCTTCATAGGCAGCCACGCTACTTGAACCGTAATAAATTACACATTAAATGCAACAACCATAAACTGTGCACACGATGCAAATTATCGCGTCTTTCAATGTAAGGTTAGAACAATATGGTACATTAAAACAATTATTTCCACGTATTTCCATGCTTCGTACTCGTTACGACGTTCAAGCGATTAAATAGCCAAAGCAGCTGAATAGCCTGGACGCACGCGACCCTTAGAAGATTTTCAAGGCGCCTTAATAACTTAAAGTCACCGACACATCCGGACGTACGACTTTTAAACGGCACGGAACATGAAAGTGTATACACCGTAAACGATTTTTATTAAACGAAAATTACAACGAATAAATTGTATTCCGCGGGTAAAACGTTTATTGTGTTTCACTAGTTAAAGCGTTTAGCAGGAACACGCAAGTTTTCCGGAAAATTTACCACGACAAAGCTTGCGTTGTGCACCTCTGTCGTTCACGAAGGAGGCGATTGAACGCGCGCGAACGAGTCAACAGTGATCTCATCCCTTCCCCTCCATCGCTCGTCTTCTACCCGATGTCACGGTACGGCAAGGGGTTCCCCTTGCTGAAGAGACCAAGCGGTAGAGTGTCTGGTAGAAAATGAACATTGGCGTAACTAGATAGGAACCAGGGTGGGCCTAATTCCCTCCCACGAGATTTCGGCTGGCCCCACCGGATGCTGTGCACGACGCACGATAACTCATATGTCTTTTATTATAAATTCCAATCTTCGAAATTCTCTTAGGTTCACATATTTTTGAAGTTCTAAATCTTTAGGGTCTAAAATTGTTAAATATACAAAGTTCCTAGATTTTCAAATTTTAGAATCGCTAAATTCCTACATTCTTACATTTTCGAATCCCTAAACTCCCGAATTTAAAAGTATTTAGATCCCCAAATTCCTGAAGTTCCTAAATTCCAAAATTACCAAATCTCTACAATGACAAATTTCTAAATCTCCAGAATCTCTAGATTTCCAAATTCCAAAAGTCACTACATTCTTAAATTTTCAAATCTCTACATCGACAAATTTCCAAGTCTCCATATTTCAAAATTTAACACTCCTGAAAGTTCCTAGATTCCTAAGTTTCCAAATCTCTACGTCGACAAATTTCCAAGTCTCCATATCTCAAAATTTAACATTTCTGAAAGTCCGTAGATTCCCAAGTTTCCAAATCTCAAAAAATCCCTAGATTTCCAAATCTTTGCATCGACAAATTTCCAAGTCTCTACATCTCAAAAGTTAACATTCCTGAACGTTCTAATATCCCCAAGTTTCCAAATCTCAAAAAGTCCCTAGATTTCCAAATCTTTGCATCGACAAATTTCCAAGTCTCTACATCTCAAAGGTTAACATTCCTGAACGTTCTAATATCCCCAAGTTTCCAAATCTCAAAAAGTCCCTAGATTTCCAAATCCTAAAATTTCTAAACTCTTAAATTTCTTTGATTCCTATATATCTTGAAAGTGTTATAATATTTGACTTTTCCGGTACTGAAATATCCAAGTTTCCAATAGTCACGTGATCGCGGCTAATGTTATTAGCGAGAGTAGCGTACGCATCCAACCCCAGAATCCGTACTTACGCCAATGAAATCGCGGAGTAAAAAACGACACTTTTCAAATTATCTTCCATCGCGCCTAAACCATTTCTCCCCTCGTGCATTGAAAATTACCATAGAGAGAAACGATGCCATTTCCCGTTACCGTCAAAACGACATTACTGTCCAATAATCGATTTCGACGAGTTCGACCTTTATCGCGTCACTTTTGGTATTTCGCGATATGCAGCGTAGGTAGCGTGACGCGATAGTGATATTACACTAGGATTTTTCGTACCGATACAAGTTGAATCGACGAGGGTAAGCAGGTGATGGTGCAAGGACGAGACGGGGAAACGAGCAAGCAGGAGCGATGGAGAAGCAGCGTGGTAGGGGACATACAGACCACCGGGGGAAATAACGATAGCACCGTCGAGCGAGCGGCAGCAACGCCAAGGGAGGACGTACGCGTTATCGACCGCCCCAGACGGAGACGGCAAACGAACGTACGTATACAGGGTGTCCCATAACTTCTTAATTAATATTTTCGGCAGGTGGGAGAAGGTGGAATTTTTAAACGAATGTTCCATTTTTTACTTTGTTTCGGGTTATGGTATTTAGTCAGTTATTTTGGAATTAAAGTTGATACAAATGATAGTTGGGTGGAGGACGCAGGAACGTACGGTATGGGGCCCCTGAGCTTATTGTACACTTTACCGGTTTTTCATATTAATGAAAATATTAATCGGTGAAGTACTATTAGGAATTTATCTAGTTCTTAGATGTTTGTTTTATGGATTATTTACTTGTTTACTAATTTCATAATATGAAGAAATAAAATGAAGTTTCAATGACGGTATACTCGGGATTCTTGCTAGGCTTTTTTGGATGAGGATCAGTTTTAGGACAGAAATATTCTTAGATAATTAAATTTTATATTTCTCGAATTCCCTAGGTGCAAATCCCTAAGTTTCTAGATTCCCCAAACTCAAGATGATAAATTCCTAGTTTCCAAAGTTTCTAGATTACAAATCCCTAGATTCTCCAATCCCAGATCCTTAGATTTTTACATTTTCCAAATCCCTAAATATCAGAGTTCTCAAATTTTCAGTTTCCCTAGATTTCCAAATGTACAAATCACTAATCCCTAAATTCCCAGATTTACAAGTCAAAAATCCCTAGATTCTCAAATCCGCAGATCCTCATACTTTCACATTTTCTAAATCCCTAAATACCAGAATTTCCAAATCTTCAATCTCAAATTCCTACATTAAAATATTCCCAAAATCATAGATTTTCAAATTCACAAATTCTTCAATCTCAAATTTCCTTGTTCTAAATTAAAAAATTTTCAAGTATCAAAATCCTCGAGTTTCCAGCTTTACAAATTTGTCAAATTCTTAAACTTTCATACTCCGTAAATATTTAAGTAAAAAAATTTACCAAATCCGTACCGTGAGCGCGGGGCGCCCGACAGCACGCTCCGCCCCTGCGTTCCGCGCGTCTGATTGGTCAACTTTAATTCTCGATAACTCCGTAAATACCGATGCTAGCCAAAATCGGAAAAGGAACTTTCGGTTTGAAATTCCACCCTTTTTCACCCCTGGAAGTATCAGTTATCGGTGAACGAAGAATTACGGGACACCCTGTGAACTCGGCCCGTAGGAACGAACGGGAGAACGCCCGTAGGAAATATACGAAGGGACGAGGTAATGCCTCCCCGTGGAGGGTCGCGATAACGTACGACGTCGCACGTTCGGGTACCTATATAGGAGGAGAGAGACCCTTCTTGCCTTATTCTGACGCTCACCCTTCCTTTGTGTGCGGCTGCAACGCGCATCGCTCGACAATTTTACGTGTCTCGATTTGCTCCGATCACCGGGACAAAAGGGATAGAGGTTTTCGTTTGAAACTCCCGGTCGAAATGTCTTCCTTTTAGAACGATAGTTTCAAAGAGGATCGATTTGTTGCTTACCGTTGTACGTCGGTACGCAGCTAGCCGACAGGTGTCTGCTACAAAGTTTTATTGAAATCTCGCTCTTTCGAGCCTTGATGGAGATGCCCTTTTATCTTTGCGCTAGCTTCCGATGTTATGGCAGCTAGTCGATTCGCCGAAGCTCATTGTCGTTTCTGTCTGCAATGAATACGGTTTGTCGATGGAAAGCGAATAATATTATCTTTTGTAAGGATACGTCACTGAACAAAGGAACACTATTAGGGAGCCAAAGGGATTTAATGTTTATGGAGTACACGCTGCTTGTTAAATTCAATGGAACGTGTTTGCGAAAATTATGAAGCTTTGTGCGGACGGAGGATGGTATGTTTATGATGGAAATCTGTCTTCCTGTCGGTGCGGTTTTAGGGAGCGCACCCTTTGGAAAAAATGTGGAGGTTTTGTTTTTGTGACGCGGTAGGAAATTGGGGAATTGGGAATACGGGGCATTGAATATTTAGAAATCAGAAAGTTATAGATTTGCAGATTTTAGAAACTTGAAGATTTGAGAATATTAGAATTTAAAAACATGAAAATTAAAAAATTAAGAAATTATAAAATTTATCTGTCTCGAATAAAAATGTTTCGCATGAAAATATAAAGTGCCTTCTCATTGAAGGATGAAAAATTTCATTACATAAAGATAAAAAGTGACATACTTTAATACATGAAAAGGTTCGCAATGCGTACAATAAACACCTTGCACATTATAAGTCGTTTTTAATACTTTGTACAATAATGGTAACAAAGACCGTATCAAATTATTAACCGCAAATACCGAGACTCACCGGACCGGTAAATTATTTGCTTTCGAAAAATGTAATAAAAATCGAATGATTAAAACTGCTGTTTCACTTCTTAGACTCATCTTCATTATCTACTTCAATGTAGAAGGCTTTCACAATATGTCTATTGTACTTAGGTCTTTTCTGCTCCTTTCTTGTTCCCTGGTGATCAGACAGCTTAATGAGAATCGGTTTCCAACATTAATGACAGTCGATTGTCTTCATAACTCTACTATGTACTATGTTCTACAAAAATCAGTTATTTAGATTCTATCGATTTCTTTAATCTCTCCGGTCCTGATTCTTAGATTTCAGAATTTGCCGATTCCTAAATTTTTTAGATTCCCTAGATTTCTCGATGCATGGATATTCAAATTTATAAATTTTTTAATTCTTTGACTTCCAAGTTTACAGATTTTCAGATTCTTAAATTGGAATATATTAATTCCCTAGATTCCCAAATCACCATATCCCAATTCCCCAGATTCCCAAATTGGAATATCCCAATTCCCTAGATTCCCAAATTGGAATATCCCAATTCCCTAGATGCCCAAATTGGAATATCCCAATTCCCTAGTTTCCCAAATTGGAATATCCCAATTCCCTAGATTCCCAAATTGGAATATCCCAATTCCCTAGATTCCCAAATTGGAATATCCCAATTCCCTAGATTCCCAAATTGGAATATCCCAATTCCCTAGATTCCCAAATTGGAATATCCCAATTCCCTAGATTCCCAAATTGGAATATCCCAATTCCCTAGATTCCCAAATTGGAATATCCCAATTCCCTAGATTCCCAAATTGGAATATCCCAATTCCCTAGATTCCCAAATTGGAATATCCCAATTCCCTAGATTCCCAAATTGGAATATCCCAATTCCCTAGATTCCCAAATTGGAATATCCCAATTCCCTAGATTCCCAAATTGGAATATCCCAATTCCCTAGATTCCCAAATTGGAATATCCCAATTCCCTAGATTCCCAAATTGGAATATCCCAATTCCCTAGATTCCCAAATTGGAATATCCCAATTCCCTAGATTCCCAAATTGGAATATCCCAATTCCCTAGATTCCCAAATTGGAATATCCCAATTCCCTAGATTCCCAAATTGGAATATCCCAATTCCCTAGATTCCCAAATTGGAATATCCCAATTCCCTAGATTCCCAAATTGGAATATCCCAATTCCCTAGATTCCCAAATTGGAATATCCCAATTCCCTAGATTCCCAAATTGGAATATCCCAATTCCCTAGATGCCCAAATTGGAATATCCCAATTCCCTAGATGCCCAAATTGGAATATCCCAATTCCCTAGATGCCCAAATTGGAATATCCCAATTCCCTAGATGCCCAAATTGGAATATCCCAATTCCCTAGATGCCCAAATTGGAATATCCCAATTCCCTAGATGCCCAAATTGGAATATCCCAATTCCCTAGATGCCCAAATTGGAATATCCCAATTCCCTAGATGCCCAAATTGGAATATCCCAATTCCCTAGATGCCCAAATTGGAATATCCCAATTCCCTAGATGCCCAAATTGGAATATCCCAATTCCCTAGATGCCCAAATTGGAATATCCCAATTCCCTAGATGCCCAAATTGGAATATCCCAATTCCCTAGATGCCCAAATTGGAATATCCCAATTCCCTAGATGCCCAAATTGGAATATCCCAATTCCCTAGATGCCCAAATTGGAATATCCCAATTCCCTAGATGCCCAAATTGGAATATCCCAATTCCCTAGATGCCCAAATTGGAATATCCCAATTCCCTAGTTTCCCAAAGTGGAATATTCCAATTCCCTAAATTCCAAAATTGGAATATTCCAATTTCCTAAATTCCCAAATCCACATATTCCAATTCCGTAAATTCCCAAATTGGCATACCCCAATTCCCTAGATTTCCAACTTGGTATTTCCCAATTCCCTAGATTTCCAACTTGCCATACCCCGATTCCCTAGATTTCCAAATTGACATGCCCCAATTCCCTAGATATCCAAATTGACATACCCCAATTCCCTAGATTTCCAAATCGACATATCATATTTCCCTAGACTTACAAATTGGTTTATTCCAATTCCCTAGATATACAAATTCAAGGATATCTATAATATTAAACTAATTTTCTAGATTTTCAAATTTCCATGTCTCCAGGTTCCTACATCCAAACATTCCCAAATCCTCAAAATTTCAACATCTGTCAAAACAAAATATTCTCACGCATTCCTTAACTCCCAAGAGTGATTCCCTTTCATACAACCCAGAACAGAAGCTTTCACGCCATCCTATCTGTTTCCTTTCCGTGTCTGATGTTACTGTAATCGTGCAGCCTACTAGAAGAGACGACAGTACTTATTATCAGCGAACTCTGTTCCCGATATCTTCACCGGAAAGCAGACATTTCCCTCGTTCACGAAAAGAAAGAAAAGACAATCCTTTTTTCCTCGTCGTTCAGACGTGACAGTGAAAGAAGTTGATTGCTTATCTACGAAGAAAACGAAAATTTTCCCTATATACATTTTCTTCTCTCCTGCTTGTCTATTCTTTCTTATCTCTTCCGGCGTGGAAAACTTTCAGCCAGTTTCTACTATCACGCTCGAACCCTTTTTCATCCCTTCTCCGACCCTTCTCTGTAGCCTCTTATAGCACTGTAATCATGCAGCCAGGGCCAGAAGGGATAGCACTCATTGTCAGCAGACATTACTCCCCTGTAGACACTCGTTGCGCCCTTTTTCGTCGTGGTTGAGTTTCGTGGGCTTGGCCAGCAAGGATAACGGAAGAAACAGAGGCCGTACTCTACGTGTCTCGAATCTCTTACGCTCTGCACATGTGTATTCCTCTCACGCTTCTTCAAATTGATGGGCTTTCGATCTTCCTTCGTTTTTTCTTTTTTTATTTACGGGTCAATACTCCACGCGAGCTGAATTCGAACCACGGTACACGGACCGTGAAACGAGCTTCTGTGAAATTGTATAACGCGAAACCGACGTTTTTCTACTTATTGACTTTGAATACAATTTTTACATTTAACTAACTGCGAGATTGCTGGGCGACGATGCAATTCATCGAGAACTCTTCAGATTTAATTTCACAAGAAATTAGCGTTTAGTTCTTTAACAATTTTTTATGTGACTTTAGCGACATCTATCCGCGTTATTTTCAACCGAATTCTTTAAACAAAATGGTTGTCGACATCTACATCTTAAGAAATAAATAAGTGTAGAATTCCTTAAATTAAGTCCTGGCTAAATTTTTTAGTCCTCGAAGGTAAATGTAATTTAGACATTCCGTATCTTATCAAAACTCTACTTAACGCAATTCATATTTTGCTTTTAGTATCTACTTTGATTCGGAGAACGGAGATCATAGGAACCCTTGAATGTAAATCTCATTGCTTTGATATAAAAGCGAACGAATATTTATGAAGTAGCTTCAAGGATCGACGTTGAAATACTCTTACGATCAAATGTTTTTTTCTTTTTTACAGACCAGACTGACTCGAAGGTATCGAATAAAGGCTGGCGTACCGACTTTGATTTTATTGGACGGTTCTAACGGTTCGATAATAACGAGAGGAGGTGTAGAACGAACGATCGGTGATCCTGGTGGAGCTGAATTCCCTTGGAAGCCACCTCATCCGAAAGCTGCTCTCGAGGATGGACCTTTATTGCCATGCGGAGCTCGCGATAGCAACGAACCCATGTTGCACGAGGAGTTGAGGCACTGTTTTAAGGGTGTTTACTTTAGCGCGCATTGGGTAAACATTTTGCTGTTCTGTTTCAGAGAAATTGTGTATGTTACATGACGAGTTTAAAATAATCTGGTTTTCTTTTAGTGTCCACCTTGCAAAGCGTTTACCCCACAACTTGTGGATACCTATCAACGAATTCGGGAGAGAGGTCATGATTTCGAGGTGATTTTTGTGAGTTCTGATAGGTCAGTTTGATTTATGTCATTTTGCACGTTTGCTGTTTAAACCTAAAAGCACTAGGAGCAAGATGGAACACCTCAAAAAATTATTTCAGAACTTATAATTATTGATTATGTATTTACAAACAGTAGATGTGCTAAACAACAGTACTGGATCTATAAGTATCTTATCTACAAATAAAATTTGTTAATTTTTAAGTTATCAAACTTCAAAGATTTTAAATTATCAAACCTACATAATAGAAATTAGTAGTTACACTGTAATTAATAAGTTGAAGATTCCACAACTTGTATAAACTAACTAATGTAACATAATGTAATGTAAAGTAACATTTTAAACTAACAATTTATAGAAAGTTCCATCTTATCCTTAGTCCACCTAACCATAATTGGAAAAGACTATCTGACAGAGTCTGTTAAAATACAATTTTTTATGCTTTTAGGAGCGAAGAGTCTTATAACGTTTATATTGAAACAATGCCTTGGTTGAGGATACCTTTTACTCAGGAAGAGAGACGAAAAAAATTAGCAAGAGCTCTCGATGTACAAGCAATACCCACTTTAGTGATACTCGATCCTCGGGATAATATTATCACATTAGACGGACGGGCAGAGTTGATCGAGGATCCCGAGGGACTGGTAAAACAAAAGAATTGTTTTTATAATACACTTTGTCTTTGAATTATTTCATAAATGATTACGAAGTAATTCAATTAACATGCAGTTGTAAAGTATAGTATAGAACTGTGAATTTCAAGTTAAGAGGTAATCAAATTGGATAAGAGGTAGAACGTAATTGAATTACTGTTTAATTAAAGTACAATGTAACTAAATTATACTGTAATTCATTCAACACAATTGTGAACAAAGTAACTTTCCAGAATTTCCCATGGACCAGTCGTTTGGTAAATATTTTAACCGAAAAGTATGCCACCTCGTTGCACGACGCGCCGGCGATTATACTGTTTGTTGGTAAGATTGACATATAGTATTTGCGTTCTGTTTAACATTTTTGATCGTTCGTTTTTACGTTGATAATATGTTTCGACAGAAGGCGAAGATTGCGAGATTCAATTCGCGGAAAGCGTATTATTACCAGCCGCACAGGCGTACAGGAAAGACAGACCCGATTATGATCCAAACTATGATGATCCAGATGACGTTTTGCAGTTTTATATAGCATTAGATGTGAGTACTATTTTAAATGCAAATGCTACATCGATGTATAATTATTTTATATTTAATAGATACATCACCGCTTTTATTTATCGCAGTGTGAGACGTCGGACATTCTTCGCGAATTTGTTGGTTTAGACGATGCTGTGCCCCTTTTAACAGCGATTGATATACCTCGAGGAGTTTATGTCGTGATGGAGGATGGTGCCGAAATAACTGTAGATTCTGTACAACAATTTGTCGATGGATTTCGTAATGACAAACTACCTATAAACAAAATAGCCGCGGTACACAAAACTGCTGCGAAAAATGACCAGGTTTCTACTTGAATCTTTATTCGAGAGTTAGCAACGGATGATTTTATACAAATTATTGCAGACCACGTGAAGAAAGGAGCAGTTAGGTTTTCAAGTGGTCATTATACAACCACAAAATAAAGAAACCCCCATCCTCTCTTCTTGATCCTGTCTCTGTGATACCATTGCTCCTTTCGTAGGAAGGATCTCGCGCAAAGTTGCGTTTGTATTCGCACACCCCCTTGTGGAAATAACCAAAAGACATGTATTATATATCATAGTCAATGAAAACTGAGCGAATTGTATTTTTAAGTGTACACATGCACACGTTAATATATTCTAATGTATTACTTAATAAACGTCAAATGAACACGTCGAAGGTATCTTTGAATTACTATTTATTAATTCTATGCTTTATACAAAAAGTAATCGTTCTATCGTCAAAATTTAGACAAATTCGCTGAAACTTCTATTCCCTTTTAGAAATATTTTTATATACATATATAAACATTACATTATACGTTTACGAATTAGTAATTTATTTTTTACGTCATAATTTGTTTCTTAAACATTTTATTTTGTTTGATCATTATTCATTCCATGATTGAAAAGAAAGATTGATTAATCATCCATTGCATACATAAATGAAATCGCGTTATTTTCGCTTTGTACATGTATCTATGATATAATTAAAGCTATATGTGTCGTCAGTTATAAAATAAATATGAGTAATTCACGTTAACCAAAAAAGCTCCGATATGTCGTAAGAAATAAAGATTACATTGATTTCGTCGTCGTATGTTGTAAAAAATATTATTGTCACTATTTGTACTATTTTATCTAAAAAATAAATATTAGGAAGGGATTTCTTATTTTCATACGTCAAATCAATTATTAAAATTTTATACTAGAAGAGCTGCCAGAGCATCTAAAAATTTTGATCTTTCTTCGATCTTCAGTCTTATTACTAGAACACAAAATATGAATACTTATTTAAAAAAAATACTTGCAAAATAAAATATAGGTCAAGATTTTTAGTCAATTCTTACTTGTGGTGTCGAAATAATCCGCCTCTATGAGTGAATTTGTATTTTTGGCCGCTTGTTCGAAGGCTCTTCCAAATAAACTGAAGAATAAGTATTATTGTAATTAGATTTAAGTACAGTTCAAAATATTTTCATAATTATTTGCAATAATTACCTTCTTGGTTGGTCTTCACAAACTGGCGGTATACCAACCATGAGGCACGTACCCGTTTCTACATCATATGTCGAAGAAGCTACTAGCGGCCATTCGGGTGCTCGTCTATTTTTTGAGGAGTCTACATAAGCTTTTAAAATATACTGAGCTAATATCAATAATGAATATGGATGCGCAAACATGTGACTATCAATACATCCTTCTGGGACGATTACGTAAAGAAACGAACCAGCGCTTCTAATTCGTTTCATCTGTAAAATACCCTGTGCAGCCTTAAAAATATTACTAAGCATAAATTTTGCTTTTTCTATGCCGCCTTCTAAAATACCCTTTTTTGTGCGAGATAAACAATCTAATGCATCTAAAAAACAACGTTGCGGCAATTTTTCTTTTGACTGGAATATTAAGAAAACTAAAATCAGTATCAATTTTAATGTTTACATTAAAAATACATAAATGCCTACTTACAGAAGATTCTATTAAGGCCAGCATAGCATAAACTATGTCTGAAGCACAGTATTTAAACCTGTAGCCATATTGAAGAGTAAAACTGGTCCCAATAATGGTATCTACTTTATATTTTCCTGCTAATTTTTCAACCATTTGTTTGAATTCTTGTCTAAGTGCTAAATCCATTGCAGAAAATTGTTGCTTTGATTGTGCTAAAGGCAAACCCATTTCAGCTAAAAGTTCTTTCAGACGTTGTTCTCCTCTAATCGACCAAAGTCGTAATGATACTGCAGTTGGTATTGAATGTTTTAAACTAGCTTCCACAGTCCAGTGCCGATATAATGCAAGTAAGAGACTGTTTTATATATAAGGAAATTATTTCATATTATGGTGTAAATAAATCTTTTAAAAATAAACTTTCTTGTGAAAGGATACTCTTTATCATAAGTAATTCTGACTGTACTGTGCTGTTGTTGTTGCTGCTGTTGGTCAACTTCGGCTCCTTGTTTATGAGTTAATCGAGATACATGAGCTTGAAGAGATCCTTCTTCAAGAACACTTAATCTTGATTCTACTTTACCAAGAATAGCCTGTTCAGTAGAACCAACTATAGCCCACCAAACCATATCTAAATTGTCTTTTGACATATTCCATGCCATGTCAAAAACAAGCATTGCACTCTACAAGAATAAGAAGTTAAAAATTTCTTAATTTTGTAGTTAGTAATTTATTACTGATTAATTTCAATAGTTCATACTGATCTGCCATAATAACTGTACTGTGTATAATTGAATAAAATAGTTGCTCGTTTTTCAGCCCACTTTCTCCTTTCAACTCTTTTAATAACATCTTCTTCATTTAGTCTTCGTCTTTTCCTCTGAGATTCATCACTTTCCAATTCTTCATCATCTTCATCTTCATCAGACTAAAAATTAAAAAATGGAGCTTGTTTTCTCAACTTATAATCACTTGCTTAAGTATTAAGTAAAGATGCTTACTGAATCATCTCTGAAGACTTCATTATATTCTGGAATTTCATCATCCTCATCAGCTTTACCAAGTATACGCACTTGATTTTCAGAATATATATTACATAAATCATAAGGCCTATGACTATCAATTACATAAAATATCACAGATTCGGCAGGCTGTAGTAATTCCACTAGATCCAAGGTACCACCACAATTTATAAAAATAACATTCTTTATCTAAAAATATAAAAAATGTGTAATATTATTATACCATGCTACACAACTTTAACTGGGTGTATTATTTAATTTTTCAGACCTCTTCACAATGTTCCTCAAACGCACAAATCATATCTTGGACCCCCTGGACAGGTATAAGCGTATATATCATGTTATCATTTTTAAAAAGTTGCTGTAAAATTCTGCAGGCACAAATGGCATCAACATCGAAATTAACCAACAGCAGGCATCTCTGCAACAGAAAGTACATATTAACATCTATAATCGAATTTAACAGTTTCTCATAATTTATTTATCTACTCCATGCTCATGTATAAACACATTTCTTCATAATTGTTATTTAACACTATATAAAAATAAGAAGAAAACCTAATTGAAAACCGTATAGATATTCTATATTGTGTACAATATGTATTAAATATATAATTTTAAATATATTTTTAATAAGAGTGTTTAACCTATGTAAATATGACAGATTGATAAATTTTTAAATTGTAAAGAATTCAAATAAAAACTTACGTCGTCCCTTATTAAACGATAAAATTCTCGTTCTAAATCTTCTACAAACATGTTGCAACGATTCTCGGCATGGGAGTATTTTTTACATTTACTGCACTTTTGTTACTCTATTTCACCATGCCTCATTTACCGCTAAAACCAAACACAATTCATGATAACAGCCGTTCGCGGCATATACAAGATGCAAGGTGTTGCACCAACTTTCACGGAAGAACTTTCAATGATAAATATCATAAATTACACTGCTTCATAGAATAATTTTGTTAAAATTTGTAATGACTTAAAAAATTATAATGTTTGTGTTGACATAATAAAAATTATTTTATATTAGATTTCGTTACAGTAGCATCACGCCCGTACGCTAAAATACAAATCCAACGTTTCTGGGGAAAATGGCGATAAAGAGGAAGGGGCTTTGTACACTGAGTATAGCACTCGAGTCTTAGCATGTATTATACTGTATTCAGAAAAATCGATAAAAAGTTCTCAAATAAATGTTAATGATATATTCTGCAATAAAAAGTGAACATTAGTTCACTGTAAAGTAATTAATTTAAGAAACTTTGAAAATTTTACTTCTGTATGTTTTTTAATATCTGTATGTATTCTGAGGGTCTTAAAAAATCGTACTTATCGACAATTACCGATAATTACCATTCGATACTGTACTGAGTTTGCAACGTTAGGTAAAGAAGGATTCCAATACTGTTATATCGATTGAAACCGGTTTTACATAAAAAGAACAAATGCAAATTAAAATTATAATAAAATTAATTTTAATGCAATAATTAACAAATATTTGTACGACATACACAAAATGTTAATTATATAAATAATAAATTTTATTAGATACAACAATAATTTAATAAATAAACAATTGAAAAATTAAACATTATAAAAAAATAAATTTCAACACATAAATTAACAAAATTTCATATACCATTCACGCGAAAAAGCCATAAAAATAATAAATTTTAATAGTTAATTTAACAATTTGTTGAAAAAATAACTAAAAAAATAAAAAATTTAAGTAAAATAACGTTGATATAGCATATACAGGTACGAATGACGTCATTACCCGGTATTGGTTGATTACGTGATAGCTGATTGGCCCTCGAATACCCTATCATTGATAAGCTGATAAATTATTGGTGCACAGTACTGTTCAAGGTGTCTGGTATTGGTTTGTTATCATGATTGGTCCTCGGTTCACCTCGGTGAATGTCGCGCGCGCTCAGTCTTGTTTAAGTCGCCGACCTGTTCGAATCACCTTGACGTTTCGCACCGGTACGAGTCAAAGTCTTAATTAATCGATCGTGTATTTAATACTGTGTTACCTAGTGTTGTAGTGCAAGTGTATAGTGTGTATTAATATGATTTTTTAAATATATACGGGGGTGTATTAATGTGTTTTATGGTGTGGTTCCCCATGTACCCACGTGTTTACCAGTGTGATTTAAGTGGTGATTGCGCATGTGTATACGGATACATTAGTGTGTTTTATGGTGTGGTTTTTTAAGTGTTTTACTAATATTTTACACAAATTTTAATGAGTTTTATGGTGTGAATATTTAAGTTTTGACATATTTTAGTGAATGTTTTATATAATTTCATGGTGTTATTACCTATGGGTTTTGACATATTTTAGTGAATGTTTAATGGGTTTTATGGTGTGAATACTCAAGTGTTTTGACATATTTTAGTGAATAATTTATACAGTTTTATGGTGTAGTTACCCATGTGTTTTTACGTACATTTGAAAATGTTTCAACGGTTTTAGACGTAGTTGCATGTTTTACTACGTTTGTGCAAATATTTCAATGCATTTAATATTTCTGTACAGTTTTGCATGTGTGTTTGTATTCGTCTGCATGCTACTTATTTTCAAATATGTTTATTGAAAAAAAAATCATTCGAAATACAAATTGATACACAGTTTTCTAACGTGTTGTGGCTTGTTCTGTTTACAGAAGGACGTTTCCATGCCAAGCCGAAATGCTGACCATACAACGCAGCAGATTGCGGGTCAACCTCCAAGACGCAATCAACCAATCTCTAACGATGCAATGCGAGTGCAACCGACCTCCAACGATGCAATACGAGTGCAACCGATCACTTTGAGCCGCGTTACGAGCCGAGTAGTGCGAGTCAGCGATCGGTGAGTCGCATGCTTTACGGTTCCTCCGGTTCCCATCATGTCGTAGGACGAATGGTCCGAAGCGACACGGGAACTGGTTGTATTTTATATTTTTGAGCGAGCATAGTGACCACGACTGTACGATCGTGCAAAATTCGTACAAACTGTTTATTTTATTTATTAGATCAGGTCAGGGTTTTCTTGTACATTTTTTCTTTTCTTATCAATTTTTAAAACTACATAGAAGTCGGATGACCCTCCGATTTCATAGTAGTTGTCGAGTCATAGTAGTATTGTCGAGTCACTTTTAAATTTTTATAAATTTTATCAATTCAATATTTTACATATGTACAAGAAAGTATCGCGAAAAACAGATTTCGATATCAAAGTTATTTACGAATGTTTGAGTCATTTAGAAATTTACTTTGATATCACAAATCTGTTAAAAATGAAACTACCGTATACTTAGATTTTTGCAAAGTGATCTTCCATTTTCCATTTTGAAAATTTTTTAAAGTTAAAGTCAATTTTTACTGGAAGACACTTTATTAGCATGTTTCTAATCATGATTTTAGCTCAGGATTTTCAGCACACATGAAGAAAACTGGTAGGTCAAAATACATGTGGCCGTGTTCATTTTTATGCTCTATACTCATGCGCGTGCTTAGATGCTCTTGCATGGGTTAGGGCAGGTGGACACGGTTTAGTTTTAAGATGTTTGGCGATCGACAAATTGACAGTGAATTATCGACACAAGTTACACGTGTGTGTGTGGTTAGGTCGTGGACCTTGTGTCGATTAAACTGTAGATTTATTTTCTAAATTTTGTAAAATTCTATTTGAAAATGCATACAAAATGCAAGT